CCTAAGGTCGAGCTGACCACAGAGGGCACAAGGTTCCTTTATACGGTCAAAGAGGGTCAGATAGTCGTCCCCGATTTCCTCCAGTTCGTCGAAGACGGTGAAGAGCAGGGGCAGGTGACTCAGGAGGAGGCTCAACAAGTGGAGCAGTGAGTTTTCCCTAGTTTGTGCTTTGACCTGTGTGCCACCTGATTAATGTTGTAATTTTTTTAATTTTATTTTGTCGGGCTTGGCCCCATTTCATTGTATCGTGCATAACAGCGGCCCATTGTGGCTGCATTATCTTAATACGTATCAAAATGTTGTGTGATTATTTGCATCTTGTCTAATATTTTCTAAGTGTCCTGCACCGTCCAACACGGTCGTGAGAGACACTTATTAATTTGTTATGTATCAGGTATGCTCGGAGAAGGACGTTCAATAGTGTGGGGAACTGGTCGAAAGGCCCGGGTTGTGTCCGGGAAATGGTGGAGCTCAAGTCACGATCGTGGTCTGAGTTCGTGGTGTGAACTTCCCATCGCGAGCTAGGGGTTCTGCCGTTCATGGTATTGTAACGATGGCGGGCTCGGTCGAGGAACCGTCGTCGAGCATGGGTAGGTTTCTTCGCCTGACCCTTGCTTAGATCCTTTTTGGTGGTGCATCGCTTGTACCTGGGCGTGCACCTGTGGTCGGTTGTCGTGCCCGCCGCCTGGGTGAGGCACGTCGACCGCGGATGGCCTTAGCTATAATACTGTTTCAACTTTTTAGCGTTCCATGGTCGAGCTAATTATTCCCTGGTGAGGTGTTCTAGGTAGTAGGCCTCGTTATCCGTTTTTGCTCTAACGCGGTAGGGTCCCTCCAAGTTTGTGGTGAGCTTGCCCTCTCGGGAATCTTTGTGATTCCTCCTTAGGACGAGGCTCCCACTTGGAATTCTCGTCGGATGACCTTGGTGTTGTTCCTAATCATGATTTTCTTTTTGAGTGAGGCTTCGCAGAGGGCTGCCCCTGACCGAACTTCTTCGACGAGGTCGAGTTCTTCCCTCAGAGCCTCGTTGTTTGTTTCTTCGTCCAAAGGTGCTTCTATTCGCCTAGATAGTACATGGATCTTGACGGGGATTACCGCCTCCGTCCCGTATCTCCTCGATAGGATGTTGAGGGCTCGTCAGATCTGGATGGTCGGGCGTTTTTCCTGTGCCTGGAATCACGGGCAGAGCTGACAACCTCTTTTTCCTCATACTGAATGTACGTTTGGGCCTTAAGGAGGAAGGCGTCCAGCGTTTCCGGGGACCGGATGTCAACAACTTTAGTGAATTTTGTGCGGGGACGGAGTCTGCGTTCGAGCAGAAACTTTTTCATGTCATCGGTGGTAGAGACTTAGACGACCTCCTTATTGAATCTTTCAATGTAGGCTCGCAGGGGTTCATCTCTCCCCTGAATGATGGCCTCGAGGGAGACTTAAGTCTTCGGATGACGGCGAGAGGTCGTGAAGTGTCTGGAGAAGAGTCTCCCTGGTTGCCTCCATGAGGTGATGGAGTCGTCAGGAAGCCTTTTGTACCAGGTCATTTCCCCCTTCCTGAGTGTGGTCAGAAATAACCTGCACTTGATGGCGGCCCGGACACCGCAATAGTCGAGCAGCGCATTGATATTTTCGATGTGCTCGTCAGGGTCAGTTGTTCTGCCGTATGTGCCTAGAGAGGGAGGTTTCTCTAGTCCTTTTAGGAGGCCCATGACAACAGGCCGTGAGGCTCTTCGTCGCTATTGCTGCTGGTCCAAGATGGGGAGCGGCGTCCCGTCTGTAGGCAGGACGACGATCTCGTCAGAGAGACGAGGTTCATGCTCGGCCCTTGGATCTGAGCGGAGGCGAACGTTGGGATTCTGCCTGGTGGCCTCTTCTGGTTCTATTGGGTTGTGGGGGAATGCTGGTTCTGGGGAGAAATCTGGTCGCATTTACGGATGATCAGGGTCTCTGGCTCTGGAGGCGTCTGACGGTTCCTCTTGCGCCGAGGAGGGGGACTCTGTCATATCTGACGTTCTTTCCTCGGCGGAGAGGATCTCAGACGACTGGACTCTTCCAATGCTCCAATCCTCGCGTTCTAGTTGAGGATTAGGAGGTTGTTTTGTTGAGAACCTCGAAGAGGACCGCCATGACCGGGTCGGCGTTGGGCTGAACTGGAATTAACAGTTTTTGTAGGACAAAAGGAACCTCGTAGTGACCTATATGAGCGGGGGACGGGGAAGCAGTGGCTTCGTCCCTTCGTTGGAGGACGTCGCCGCCACGAGAGGTGGTGGCCTCATCAACATCAGTCTTGCTGACGGGGAGAAAAGCAGAGTTACGAGCTTCAAGTTTGTTGTCACGGACGGTCATGATCAGAAACTTGAAGAGTTATTTTGCTCTTGTGTTCAAAATACGGGGATAATAAGATTCCCACAGACGGCGCCACTGATCTTACCTATCGATCAGAACCTGAGATGGGCCAAAGACAAACGTCTGTGATGTTGGGTGTGAAAGAGGAGGAGAGAGTGTACCTGCAAAGCACTCCGATGCTAAAGTAAGAAAACGAGAGAGAGAGAGAGAGAGAGAGAGAGAGAGAGAGAGAGAGAGAGAGAGAGAGAGAGAGAGAGAGAGAGAGAGAGAGAGAGAGAGAGAGATAGAGAGAGAGAGAGAGTACAAAATATGAGTGTTTCAGGGTGAATATTTTGATACCTGACCCTCTCAAGTGAGAGGATTTTTATCGTGCCCCCAGCGCTTGGTCATTGGTCCCTATTTTCGGGGCGAGATAACCGTTTATTTGTTGGTAATGAGAATCAACTGTTAGTTTCACCAATTTATTTATGATTACGAAAGCATTTCTTTGTTTTGTCTTGGATTCTCTTTTGTTGGGTCTTAGGGGTGTTATCTGTTCTTTAATCTACATTTAGAGTTTTCTTTCATAATTATGGTTGTAAAACTTGGTTTGGTTACGTGATTTTGAAGTGTTTTTCAGCAACTAAACTGAGATTTTAGCTAATGTTTGTGTAAATGGAGTGGGAATACGAAATGGCATAATAAAACAAGATGGTCTCATTAGGTAGCAATATCTTCTTATTTGGTTTACTTTCTTTTGGAGTTGTATCATTTGTGAGGGTCTGGTTTATATGTTTACATTGTTGTTGTAATGCACTGTTTCATAGTTGTAAGCTATATTGCAAGTAAGGAATATGGAATATTTGGTTGAACATTGGTGCTCTTATATGGAGTTTGCTTCCTTGTATTACACTGTTGTTGGGTGTTTATATTGTTTTGAGATTCATTCTGAATTTAGTTTTGAAAACATGCTTATGATCTAGGAAGTTTAAATTGATTGCCGATTGTATGATGCCAATAAAATTAGTAGTTTAAGTGATTGTTCGGTATTTAGTTTATTAGAAAATTAATTATTACTTCTGTTTTTTTTATACAAGAGACAATTTAGTTTTAGATTTATTAAATAATCAGTGTATTTGATTAATTTATAGACTAAATACTCATTAGAGGTGGCTTCCTTGATTACATTTTTATGGTTGACATGACAGTAAGTAAGAAATAACTAATAACCTGTAACTTACTTGTAACATGTGCTGCTCTGCCTCTTTTTAAAAATGCATGTGTATGTTATGATTATCTTTCACATTTCTCCCACTCTTTCCTATTAGCGCCATTGCATCTTTGTTCACCTAGAGACCTTATAGTTATTTTAATAATAAATTTAAAATAAAACAAAAATGAAAATTTATAATATTTTTCAAGTACATAATCAATAATTTTATAGTTTAAATAAAATTTTAAAATATTATAAATTTTAAATATTAAAATAACCAAAATTTAAAAATTAAAATTTAATTTAAAATATTTTAAATTTAAATAAGATAAATTCAATTACATAGAACAACCAATTACTAAAAAGGTTATAAAGTTAGTAACAAGTATGACTAGAATCACGTTATTAAAAATGACTCTCACGACCAAATTAGTAATAATTATTTGTCCAACTAAATTAAAAAAAATATTCATTTTCATTAGTAAGTTGTGGTGAATGAGAAGAAGACTCAATAAATCTTAAATTAATTATTAAAAAAAAAATTTATCCTTCGATTCAATCATTATTTATATTATAAATTAATATATTTTATAGTTACTAATAATAATATTTTAATTATATTAATATTATAAATTAATATATTTTATAGTTACTAATAATAATGATATTAAAATCAAAAAACAAATAAATTTTTAAAACTTTAAATATATGATAAAAAAAAACAAGAAAAACTAAAAAAAATTGGAAACCCTAAAATTTAGCCACATTCGCCCGAGGCCTTGAAACAACATTTTAACTAATTCGCCAAACCATTTGACAAATGCTTGCTGGAAGAATTTCAAAGTTTGTCATTTTAGTTATTTTTTTAAAAACTTGTTTTATTTGGTAATTATATTATATAACATTGCTACTTTAAAAAAAATTCACTAATTGTTTTCTAATTGTACTTGCAACTTTAGAGTTCCTTCCAAGAGAAGGCTGTTAAGAATGAGCTTAAAGAACCTGAGAAAGAAGTTTCTACTGGAACAAAAATCATTAATAATAAATCTAATGCCCCTCCCACCACTTGTAAGAACAATACAGGAAAAGAAACCAAAAAAAATATGAGTCCACATTATCAAACAAAGGTAAAACACTGAAAATTCTAAATACTTGTAACATTAACGACTACCAACTCACAGCATGTTTATGGTAAGAAAAATAGTCATACCATGTCTGTGTATCCATCCGAAACCATGACACTGCCAGACTCACATTCACTCAGATGTTAGTAATCGCTATCACATTAATGCTATTCTAGCTTCCAGGCAGCAAACATGATTTATAAAATAAGTCGAAAACTATTACCCTGGCCAGATATGATTGAAAATATGTGTATGTACATAAAAAATAACGCTTACCAATCATGTTATCACCACTTTATGAAAAAATTCACAAACTGTACATCAAAAAGAATTATATTGTTTCTCTATTGATCCCTTGCCTTTCTTATTCTGTTTACAAGAGATTCTATTGATTTTTGGACTCTAGTTCCTTCTGTTTGCATCACCGCCTGAGATGCCTCGTGTAGATTTTGAATTCCACGCCCCAAACTGGCGATTGAGGGTGCGGCAGGGAGAGATTCAATAGCACACTCAATCCCATCACCATACAAAAGCAAGCCAGTGCAAGTTCCAATGCTACCTGCGAATGTAGCCCACGGCAAGAAGCCAACACGCTGCAACTTCCGCTTCCTCATTATTTCATAGAATGCCGTCCTCATAGCTGAAACACTGGTTTTTTCAACAGAGGCTATAACACTGTGAGTAACGACTCTAATCTTTTCAGCAGATGCAGCTGCCTTCATTAAACCCGATGTTTTGGCTCCAGAAGTCGCAAAGCCGGGTGCCACGACTTTAGATGGACCAACTGCAACACTCAGTATTTTCTGCATTTGGCTGAGAATAATCTTGAGTGAAGTTGGAATTTTGAAAGTAACAACCTTGGTCAGCGTCGACATGGGAACTACCTTGGTCAGAGATGAAGCTCCTAAAACTGCTGTTGCTCCAGCCCCAACTGCCATCACAGGTCTATCTGCTAACAACCGCTTTCTGTCACCATTATTTAAACTAACCCCTTTCCCTTCAGAATCCGTGATTAATTCTCCAACAATCTCTTTAACTTCATCCGGAAGAGGAGTATCCCAGTGTTTCCTAATACCTGCTAAAACACCAGCATCAACTACTGCCACAATGGTTTTAAACTTATCTGTCTGGCTACGAATGGACTGTGCAAACAACACTTGCGACTTCTCATCAACCTCAAGCTCCGAGAACTCAACCTTGTCCGACTTCGAAACACCTTTCTCACCAATTGGCCGCAACCCTTTATTATTCAAAGCTATCCTAAGCCCCTCAACTGCAATCCTAAAAGTATAAACCTCAGAAACCGTTCTAGTATCAAGAACCTCCCCTCTATTCACATTCAACAACATCTTCTGCACATGCGCCAACGCATTCCCCATCGACGGTAAATCAGAAAACATATCATGCAAGTCCTCAAGCAAAGGATAAACAGACTTCGCAAATGCAGGAGTATCATAACTAGTCGTCGGCTGAATTTCCACCGAACCCGCAGAAACAGAGTCATTCTTACTATTACCAATCAAAAGAGGATCCATATAGCCAGATAAACCCTCTGCCAACACCATCCTAACATTTTTACTAACAGAAAATCTCCTCAAAGCCATTGACCCCGCACTTTGCTGCTGAGGAACCAAACTATTCACAATACTCATAAACCTATTTCCACCATCAACTCCACCAGAATTATTATTACTATCATTGTTGTTACTCCAACAAGAATTCCCTAAAGGCGATTGAACAACAATGAAATCCGAACCAACATCACGAGCAGCCTTTTTCGCCGCCAACAAATGCCCATCAAACCCAGTCCCAAAAATCTCCCTAAGAACAAAATCCCCTGCAACACTCTCATACTTATCCCTACCAATTTTATCAACAAAACACCGTTTAACAACACCAAAAGAAGAAGTAGGTACCGGAACATGAAACTCCTCGTCTTCAAAAGGGGAAAAACCACCAGCACCGGCTTGAACAATAACGGCGTCGGGCTTAATTTCATTGATGAGAGATTGCGCATCGAAAGACGATCGTTCCGATAGGTTAAGAGAGGAGAGAATGTAAATTAGGGATTGGGTTTTGGGATCGCGTAATGCGAAGACGAATTGTTTGGTGTGATCGGGGATGTTGAGTTTGTTTACGAGTTGTTTGGAGGATTTGAGGTCGTCGGATTTGAAGGAAGAAAATGGCCATAGGTTTTGGAGATTCCATAATAACGTAATCGCCATTGTTGAGAAAAGGAAGAGTGTGTGGATTTTGTGAAAGGAGGAAGAGGAAATTATAGTAGTAGCTTGTTGTGTCCAGGCACTGCGAAATAGAGAATCCTAGTCCCACTCCCAGTAACAACCACTCGCAACTCACATTATTTACCTAATTTATTCAATTTTGTGACATTAGATAATAATTTTAAAAATAATATACATGATAATGATTAAATAATACGATTTGAAAATGAAAAAAATATTTACTTAAAAAAAAATTGTTTATTAAAGTGGTATTTATTTTAAAAATGAAAGAGTATAATAATGCAATATTTATTTGAGCGACTTTGATTAAAGACTAAAGTTAAATATAATATTTAATTATAGCATTGTTCTTACTCTTTTACACTAATGAAAATGTGGTTTATTTTGTAGTTTATTTAGATATAATTCTTTTACACGTTTTCAAAATTGCTTGTGACATTTAAAATATCTTTTTATCTGCGAATATTATGAACGGTATGTTACATGTAACTGTAAGTGAGAAAAAACAATTAATGAGAACGAATAGCGGGGTGGGTCGATTTTCAATATTATTATATCTCCAATGACGATAATTAGTTATATAATGTAAAAAAATTAGGGAACTTAATAATCAAATTTTATAAAATGAAAGAAAAATATTAATTGGCATTAACACAATTATTACTATATAGTCGGACCATAATATTATTTATTTATAACAATTATTACTATATAGTCGGACCATAATATTATTTATTTATAACTATGTGGGATGCAAAGAGAGAATTTAAATAATGTTTAGTAATATTGAACATGTAAATGACCTTATCACGTCTTGAGTATGAATGGTAAACAGACTTACTCGTTCTGTTTAGACCCGTTCCGCATTAAAGTAAAAATAGGGCGGTGAAAGCTCGCGGACATTACACCTTTTATGTCTAAAACGACAAAAATTTATGAAAATGCACGTATCCACAAAAGCCCACATAGAAAACAAACGGGGTGGGACGGACACATTAGAGGGTGAGGGTCAAAATCGTTGTCCACCCCGCACTAAAGTGTGGGTAAAACAGACATGTCCAACGGGTCGAGCCCATCTTGTCACCCCTAATCTTGAGATGAGAATGCAAGAGTTGGATATGCTCTTTGCCTTTTTCAAACACTTGATACATTTGCCTCATTTAGAGTCTTCACGTTATCCCCCAACTTTGTCACTTACTTATTTAAATCTCGCAGGGTGTCATCTTTTTCCTCTCTCTCTCTCTCTCTCTCTCTCTCTCTCTCTCTCTCTCTCTCTCTCTCTCTCTCTCTCTCTCTCTCTTGTCTCCACATATCACATGGTTTCTCTTACTCACCCTAACAAAGTTGTATCAATCTCGAAACTCGTTGATCATAGTTGACCTTGGTAGTGAGCTATTCAACATGTACGTCTCCATTATTTGAGTCATCTATCGTGCCCTTTGAATAACTGCCGATATATTAAAATGGCCATAAACAAAATTGACGTTGTCAAACTTATTATCCCAAAAAAAAAAAGGCATCTCATGACCTTCAGGAGGTGCTGTAGGAGACAGCTCATGGGCAAAACTTGTAATATCTTTGTCAACGAGGGCATCTTTCCCCACATATGTCTTATATTTTTTTGCAGGCTGTAAGTTATATGTATGCCTAAGAGGGGGGGGGGGGGGGGGGTGAATTAGGCTCTTAGACAATTTTTCCGGTTTTTATGATTCTTGGATTTTTCTTCTTTAAGTTCTTCTAGATGATGAAAAACAGTAAAGTGCAGAAGAAAAAAGGACACAGCGATTTATAGTGGTTTCCCTCACAATCCGAGAGTACTCCACTCCCCTTTCAACATGAAAGAGAATTTTACTATCAATGTTAGATTTCTACAAAAGACAATCCTAACAACCAAGAACACCCTTCTTGGATTTACACAATATTTAAGTCCTACTGAGAATGAATATCACACAAAAGGACCTCTTGTATCCACAATTTGGATTACAAGGAAAACCCTACAAATTTATCTTTTATAATTATAAGAATAAGTTGTAGTCAATTCTGAATTTGTATATAAGTGACAATTGAATGTATATCAATATGAAATATTGATCTTCTTCTCGAAACAAAGATTACTCAGAAAATTATACAAGTGTTCTTTATTGTGAAATCAAGCTGTAAAAATGTGAAAGTGTATTTCAATGGCTTGTTTCAAAAATTCAGATTTGAACACTTTTGAAAAATTCAAAAAGATTGAAGATAATGAGTAATATTTGAAATTTTGTTTCTTGAAGGTTTATTTTGATTTTGAAAACTGAAATCAATTTATAAGAGTGAAAAACCTTTTCAAAAAGGTATGATTATGGGACAGAAAAATAGCCAGTAAGAAAAACACAGAGCAAAGTAATTCTCCATGAACAGTTGCTATTTTTGGCTGTTGCTTCAGTGTTAATCGGTTAACACCTTTCCAACGTATAAAAAATTCAAATTTTACATGTGTTAATCGGCTAACCTATATGGTTAATCGGTTAACACTGTAAGAAATTCCCAAAATCATAATTTTAACTTGTGTTAATCGGTTAACCCCACAGGTTAATCGGTTAACACTGATAGATTTTCCAAAAATACTTAATTTAAAAAATCAAGAGTATTTTAAAATAGTTTTAAAATGGTTTTAGTTAGTGGTGTAGTGAAGTGAGATCAAAGAACACTTGCATACATAATTCTAAGTAAACAATGTCATACCGTGTCTTTAATCTTCAACACCACTTGAAACTTGATAGATGAAACTTGATCCATATTGATAAATGTGAATTTGCCTTGATCTTGATAATGTATTCTTGATGATATGCTTGCACCTCTTGCTTTTTGTGAAGAGTTTAGAATAGATATGTTTCAGATTTTATCCTCAGTATATATACCCCCACGGGTATATAATGCAAGCAGCTTCACAGTACATATACCCCCACGGGTATATAGTGTAAGTATCTTGCGAGTCAAGCTGATATGAGTTGTCTTCATCAAAACAATAGAAGCTTTTGAATCTTGATTCTACAATATCCCCCTTTTTGATGATGACAACCGTTTCTTTGAAAATCTTGCTTGATACTTGATTCATAGCATTTCTCTCCCTAAGTTGAATCTCCCCCTAAATTCAAGAGAGATAACACTTTTTCTTCATAGGAAAATGTTAGAATCACAATCCTTCTCCCCCTTTGTCATTAGCAAAAAGGAAGAGGGGCATTTAAAGATAATAGCAAATAATCATGCATAGCAAACACAACAAGCATAAACAATTAACATAGGAAAAGTCATAACTTGAAATTAAAATAAGCAAACCATTGTACGAGTACATAAAAGAAAACGAAACTGAACTTAAAGCTTAAAAACAGAATGCAACAAGTTTGAAAACATCCATCATGCACACATTAACTAAAGAAGATATTAGATATCACCTTCATCGAGAATCTCGAGTTCTCGACGAATCTTGAAGAAAGGTTCCTTAGTTAATGGTTTAGTGAATATGTTGGCGAGTTGATTGTGTGTATCCACGAAAGTAACATCTACATCTCCATTAAATACGTAATCTCGAAGGAAGTGATGCCGGATGTCTATGTGTTTTGTCCTTGAATGCATGACCGGGTTCTTTGTGATATTGATGGCACTTGTGTTGTCGCATCAAAGAGGATTGCAACCGAGATCTACACCATAATCGAGGAGTTGTTGCTTAAGCCACATAATTTGTGCACAATAACTTCCTGCTGCAATATGTTCCGCTTCGGCCGTGATAAGTGCAACACATGCTTGCTTCTTGTATGCCCATGACACTAGTGCATTCCCGAGAATGTGACACGTACCACTTGTACTTTTTCTATCAGTCTTACATCCTGCATAATCAGCGTCTGAATAACCAATTAAAGAACAAGTACTACCTTTTGGATACCATAATCCGACGTTCGTTGCTCCTTTGAGATACTTCATAATCCTCTTTACGGCGGTGAGATGTGATTCCTTCGGATTTGCTTGAAAGCATGCACAAAAACAAACTCTAAACACAATGTCAGGACGGCTTGCCGTCAAATATAATAATGAACCGATCATACCTCGATACTTTGTGATATCAATTGGAGTACCGGATTCATCTTGATCAACGTACGTTCCGGATCCCATAGGAGTGGACATCACCTTGCAACTATCCATATCGAATCTTTTCAACAATTCCTTGCAATACTTGGATTGGTTGATGAAGATGCCATCCTTTGTTTGCTTGATTTGTAGTCCAAGGAAATAGTTCATCTTTCCCATCATAGACATTTCAAACTCGCCTTGCATCACCGAAGCAAATTCTTCACATAGATCTTTGTTTATTGATCCGAAGATGATGCCGTCCACATAGACTTGAACAAGTAAGGTATTATCCTTTATCTTTTTAATGAATAAATTCTTGTCTACCTTTCCTTTTTCAAAACCTTTATCACATAGGAAAGTGTTGAGACGATCATACCATGCCCTTGGTGCTTGCTTTAGACCATAGAGAGCCTTCTTCAATTTGTATACATGTGAAGGGTGCTTGAAGTCTTCAAAGCCCGGGGGTTGTTTGACATAGACTTCTTCGTTGATGTATCCGTTCAAAAATGCGCTTTTGACGTCCATTTGGAAAAGTTGAAAATTCATTGAACAAGCATAAGCAAGTAATAATCTAATTGCTTCTAACCTTGCTACCAGAGCGAACGTTTCATCAAAATCAATTCCTTCTTCTTGGTTGTAGCCTTGTGCGACCAATCTTGCTTTGTTACAAACTATGATCCCATTCTCGTCAAGTTTGTTCTTGAACACCCATCTTGTTCCTATGATGTGCTTGTGGTCCGGTCTTGGTACAAGACTCCAAACTTGATTCCTTTCGAATTGGTTGAGTTCTTCTTGCATCGCTAAAATCCATTGGTCGTCGCCTAAGGCTTCATCAATCTTGGTTGGTTCAATTTGAGACATAAAAGCCATGTTGA